GGACTCGACGAGACGCGACGACGAGTTTAGCGTGCGAAACGGCAGCCAGGTTAGGCTTACGGTTCCTGAAACGCGCCTTAGACTGGAGTGTTTGGCGTCTTATCCCGACCGTACATCAAACGTGGTCCCGAAGGGGCAACAAATGACGTCACGGAAGTCGGCCTGCCATGTTGTCGGATGTCGCTGCTATGACACCAGCGGAGTAACCATGAAGGTGGCTTATAAGGCTTTAGCCCCCCCGCTCTCTGTGGCTTAACTGTTGGAGTGTTAGGCCTACCAAATTGAATATTTGGTTTATGGCGAATTCCACTGGTCGTTTGGGAGCGCGCCGGAATCAGTAGACCAGATCCGAGATGGAGCACGCGATCCGAACAGAGTCGCTCCGCCTCCGGATCCGCATTGGAACGTGCACTCCTCCGGGATCGGCGGATGCCTTCCCGTCATTCAATCTCCCGGGGATCCCCTTCCCGGGGTCCCGTACCTCTAGGCACATATTTTCGCAATAGCGGTGCTAGCAACACATGTTCAAAGCACGAGCGAAGTTAATCATGATGTGAAAGATGCGTGTCGATAAGCTATGCGCATCAGCATAGCGCCCTTGCCTCTTTATCGGAATACTCGTGAACGGTGTCCAAGTACGTCTTGATTTCCGGCTTATTCTGTGGATGTCCGAAAAGGCAGTCGAATTCATGCCAGACATACAAGCAAACCTCGTTATCGCTGCTACTCGAGCCGCTGCTGCTGGAGCAGCTGCTCGAGTAACTTGGCGACAAACTGTCATCCGAAGCAGCAGGAAAGCGGGTGGAACTTCGCGAGCGGCCATTACGAATTCTGAGGCAAGGTGCCCGGCGAGAAAGAAAGTCATGTGTGCGCGTCGAGGGCTGGCCAGGCTGGCTTCCGGTTGAATCCGCCGAAATCGCCGGATGGACTTTCCTCGGATCCGGATCAAGATCTTTAGTGGGAGCTGATCCAAAACAACGAGTGGAACACGTCCGTCTCGATCCCAATCGCCCAGTGAAATAGGCGCGCTCCTAGAAAATTCGATCCTGGCGCGCTTTCAACCGACCATTGGAATTCGTCATTAGGTACCGGAACCTGGGTGTGAAGACTGTGATCTCTTGGTTGTAACTTGTTATTTCTGGTTTTACATACGGGACTAAAGCAGCCAAGCCATTCACGCATCCTAAATATGCCTTGTCGCCGCGTTCTTGGGCAAGCCGAACAAATCAAACATTGACAATGCGTCGTGGCCATCGTCTGGAATCAAAGAGCAAGAAAGCAACGTCGTACTTGTTCCGTACACCCATGCCTCGAGCCATGTTTTGATCTAGCAGACCTGTGGAACGTTAGGCCTACCTGCTGGTGCCTTAGGCCGAACGTAAGGCGTTCTTCTCCGCACAATGGAGTTATAATAGCGGCTTCTGAAGGCGTGGCTTCGAACCTCGCCGATGGCGACGGTGGTCAACAATTGTCGCCGCTCTCTTCCGTTTTCTTTGTTGCCATCCTTATTATCCGCGCAATTAAAAGGATAAGAGTGTATGGAAATACTTATAGGCTGGAAGAAAGGGCCGATAACGCTTGAGACCCGATAGCGCGACTGCGGGTGTTTTTTTTTCTTTTTTCCTTGTTGCGCCGCTTTTCTTTTTATGCGTTTATCAGTTGGCTGATGCTCGAGCGTTTACGGTTCATCGACTTCTCTTTGAAGAGCGCTGCCAGGTTTCCTTTTGTATGCCTTCGATAACGAACGCGTTTTTTGTGTGTACGTGCTTTTCCGATCGTTAGCGGTCCGAGTTATTTTTAATCGGTGCTGTGCCGCGTCGCCGGGGGGCTCGACTCTGAAAAGAACTCGATGAGTTTTGTTTTGAGCGACGGCCTCCGTACGGCGGCCGGAATTTTAATGGGAGCCCCCTTTATTTCTCGCTTTAAATAACAACGAGCTTTGGACAACTGCGCTCCAGGTCGTTGTACCCCGCTGGGATCTATTGCAGTACGAGAAACCACTTGCAATCCGTTCTTATGATAGCAACCCGCCCGACGACAGGGAACACTGAAATACAACTGCGCTGACTGGCAGCTAAACTGCAGTCTTCTTTTGCCCTGTCGATGTCGTTGTGCCGTTTGTACTCTTAAAAAGGCGATGCAACTTTTTTTTTTTTTTTTTACTTTCGGTACATACCGTTTAGAATTGTTCCTTGTCATTCATAACCTATAAAACACGCGCTAGTTGTTCTTTTCCTTTTTTTTTTTTTGACGCAATGTCAGTTGCGTATAAAATTCGAGAAAAACGAGCAGCGTTCACCCTCTCAACTCGCTGCCAGAACAAGCGGTCACGACATCTGGAGCCAATTATATGTCGTCAAGGTTGTTAAAGGGGTGTTCACACGGGGGATGCTTTTCTGGGTGGGACGTCAGTGATCGGCGGAACCAGCGGAACTCCCTCCCCGAATTGCGAAGTTATCTCGAGCAAAAGCTTCCTCATCCCCCGGGGATGTCTACGTTAGCGCCGCTCTGCGTAAAGCCGTGACGTTGTTACCACATGATGCGCATCCCTGGGAGTAAAGGGAAGGTTTTCT